TAGAATCTCAAAATTCAAACTCAAATTTTTGAATATTAAAACCCAAATAAGGTCCCTTTTTATTGTCCTTGTCCATTTTAGTGCAAATATAGCTTTCTGCAGCTGCCAGCTCTCCTGTCTTCTTTGATCCAAGAAAATGTAGTTCTACATACCCATCTCCCATGTGATTGAAAGAACAAAGAAAGTTCCGCTAAAAGATCTCAATTGAAAAATATTCAAGATCGAAAATTGTGGTCCTAATTTGGCTGCTCAGTTTCTCTGGTTCGATTGCCATGGATAAGAGGCAAAAGAAAATTGAAGGGTTTCTCTGAACAAAACAAGGACAAATTCGAATTCTTTTAACTTAACCAGTGCAATTGGATTGGGATAGCATATTCGTATCAACATCTTACTTGTAAAGTCATGCGATGGCTTCTAGTTATATGCATGTGATTTTGTAGGTCCATTGAAAAACTTAACAATGACTATTGTCTGCAACTGCACTTTTAGTATTTAATTTTGGTCTTCATTCAGATCTCAATTTGTTTAAATTTGACTGCAAAATTAGGTTTAGATAGCTCGATCTTGATGTCGACATGAGCGGTGTATTGTGTTTTGGGAAAACCCTAGCTAAGTTACAGCATTGGTAATGAAAAACCAGAATTGGTAAATTAGGGAGTAATAATAGAAATGAAAATGAGTAAATTTTAATTCAAGGGACAAGATTAAAATTTTTAATTTTTTGAATGCTATAATTAATTATATTATAAAAATATTTATATATCAATTATAATTATGTATATTTCGGTTATATAAATTCTCTTATTTCTTTTATCTTGCATCAGCCCTGATCCTTCTTTTATTCTATTTCGATTACTCATATTCTCCAATAAGGTAATTTTAGCATCCCTTGTGAATTTTGCAACTTCGAATGGTTTGGGTCCTTTGATTTTCGCGTGATGTTGCGGGTATAATTTACTCGCATTGAAGTAGCTCTTACTCTCTTTTTCCTTCTTCTATCTTATGTGAAAAATAGAAAAGGAAAAAAATATATGAAATATGAATACATAATTTTTTCTTTTTAAATAGAGGTGCGTTTTATATATATATATATATTAGCATGCTTAAATCGTATATCTTAAAAAAATATATAAAATTTGTGAGGAAGAAAATCAAAATTTGAAAAGTTTTAGGGTAAGGAGGAGGGGAGCATGGCCTCCACAAGCTTTTATAGAGGTATGCCCCTAAAATATAAGATCTAAGAAACCCTTGACGAACCCTAAAGGCCAATTTCACTAGAATTGACAACTCGTATTCGTTTGAAGTTTAATTTCTAACGATTTAGGGATTTATTAGTTTTTATACTTTTAAGCTAATTGGCAATTTATTAATGAACAATACAAAATAATTACATCATGATATTTTATAAAAGGAATAAAAAATGCACAAGGATAAAATTAAAAGTTTTTGTTTGGGAATTATCTTGCTAGAAGAAATTAATATTTTGTTTTTGGATACAGAGGAGGGGACTCCGAAGAAACAAAGGAAACTGACAGCTCCTAACAACCCGTGGGCAAGCCATACCTTGAAGATCCTGATTGAGGCAATGCACTACAGGAGGAGGAGGCACATGAAATACTTGCTTGCCTAGGGGGGTCTGTACCGCCTTTTTAGCCAAGAGATCAGCCACCTGGTTGGCCTCCCTATAACAATGCAGCACACCCAGTTGCCAGTCCCTAGCCAAAAACCCACGATACTGCCGGATAGCATTGGATATTTTATTTATATATGATTCCACGACCGCCTAATAAGAACACAGAGACATTTTACATGCAACATTATTGTTAATTAAACAAAATCTTTGTTACTTGTTAGTATAATCATGAATCTAATTAACACAATATCTAGATTTTTATTCTAATTACATTATTCAATAATCCTAATGAGATAATTTAGTACATTGGAAACAATTTGAGGTTGTCAATATGTATTCTTTTGATGCAGATTTTTTTTGTCGAATTATAAAAATACGTCTGTTAAAAAAATTTTATTTTAAACCAGTGTTTTCGAACCATTGAGCCGATTTCAATCTGAACTTTTTTTTTGTAATTTGATTTTAATCTGAACTTGAACTAGACCGACGGTTTTTTTTTTTTTTTTTTTTTTTTACAATCTGAACTTTTATATTCTTGTAATTGCATTTTAATCTGACTTGCTAGAGACGGGTTTTTATTTTTTTTTTTTTTTTTTTTTTTTTTTTTTTTTAAGATCATTGTTTGCCATAATAACATGCCAGCTATTCTGATGTATTAACTTATAGTTTGAAAGTCAAAATCCTTGCTCAATTAGGTCTTACCGTTATACTTTCTCAGTCAAGCGACTACTTTTTCAGAAGAAAAAAAAAATTCTGCAAGTACAAAATTACAAATTCATCATTGATTTGATTGAATAGAACACACTAATCATACAGTATTGAGACGTTTAGTATTTTTATTGTTATGAACATTTATTAGCATCAATTTAAATTCTACCGTTGGTTCTTTTTGTCATCTGCTTTAACTCCAAATCTGTTTCTAGCTTACTCTTAGAATAAAAAAAAATAAAAAAAAAAAAGCTTAATCTTGGTTTCCAGTGAAGATAGGCTCTAACCCAGCTATTATGTCATTATGCAAAGGCCTCAATGATTCAAGTTCCAACCAACCCCCAACAGTCTGTAACCATGAAACAACATCAACAACTAAGCATTAGTTCTTAAATTAGTTAGAGTCAGTTGTATAAATCTTCTATTTTCATAAACAATATATCAAGCCAAATAAAAACCACAAGGTAAACTCCATGCATTATCCTAACAGGAATTGAAATTGAGACCTTTGGATAAAAATCCACGCGCATTATTCTCAGGATGTCCCCTCAAGTTAGTGAAAAACACAAAACAGCGATAATTTTATGGTGAATGCTTATCCAACCAATGCAAAAATACAAAACCTGAGCCAGACAAAATCAATTCCCTGAAGATGAAGCAAAGTTATATGAATTTCCAGGTACCATCACTCTTAAAATCAGGCTCAAAAATCAAAAAAAAAAAAACGTTTCTCTCAAGCAAGTAATTAGAAAGTTACAAAGGATTCTGACGTCTATCAAGAGACAGATGGCAAGCAAGAGGCCATCCTGCTTTAAGCCAAGAAAAGTGCAAAACTGGAAGCTATCAATCAAAACAAAAACCATATCTCTTGAGATAACTCAATTTTCCATACAAAGTGTGACACATACAAGAAACATGGACCACAATGAAGTTATCTCCTGAAACTGTAATGGAAAGGTCAAGCCTTTATATTTAATGTCAAAAGTGGGTGGCGGCACTAACCGGTAAGACTAATTTTACTTATCCTCCCATTTTGATATGACCCGTGGCTCAATTTAAGCCTAAACATGTTCCTATAAATCTCACCAGCAGCTTCACCTCATTCCCATCAAACCAAGCTTCTGAGTTCTTATCTTTCAGCTTTTCTTCTGTTCCTGAGTTCTTCAACTTACAAAATACTTGAAAAAAGATGGCGAATTCACGCATAGCAAAGTTCTTTATAGAAGTTGCACCACCACAATATATTAGTGTCATGAGGCACAGAGCATCAAAGATGTTGGATACAATTAATGAAGAGGAGAGAGATGTTAGCCCTAGCAATTCTATTGCTTCTGCTCCAAGATCACCTATTTCTACTGCTGCTGCTGCCAATGCCATTGCTGCAACAGCAGCAACTACTGCAGCAAACTCCAAGTATTTTCCTAAAGGAGTTCAAAGATCTTTCTCAATCTTTGAAAACTGAGAGGAATGCAGTTTTTGTTTGCTATTCACTCCCTTGTGTTATTTTTAAGTTGAGGGAATTGGTTTTGGTGGACCAGAAGTTGCTCATGTTAAGCAACTGCTACTGTAATGCCAATGTTGTACATAATAAAAAATTTCCGGTAATAATAATCAGAAAAAGCTAGTTGAAGTTTTGAACATACTTCTTTTTGTTTTTCTATCCAGAGCACCAATGAACACCATAAATATAGTTTTTCACATTGTCTAAATATATTTTTCAATTATATCCACTTTTTTTAAGTCTATTATTCCAGCACAATTATTTCTACATCCATACTTCCACCACCAAACTACTGCTCGCTGCTACTACTCCACCATGCATGGCTGCCTTTGTATTACTGCAACTTGTTCCAGAATTATATATATATAATATATACCCTCTGTCATTACTATAACCACCAGTACCACAATTATTGCTAGCCACCTATTTACCACCACCATCAACACCAAAATCATTTAATAAATTCTTTTTAGAAAATAAAATTCTGTTTCCTCAACAATTTATCTGGTTGTGGTACCTAAAATTAATTGAAAATTGCTTTTCTGCTGTTTAGATTTTAGAGTGCATTGGGAAAAAAATTTTTCCTTTCAATAAATAATATTTTATTAAAATTTTTTGAATCAACAACATAATTCTTTCACTGTAGTCATTCAGAATTGTTACCAGATTGACAGCAATTGTTGGACAAATGAATATGTACCTACATAGTTTGATTAGTTTCTTATAGGTTTCTTCTTTGTATAATTAAAAATAAAAAAATTTAAAAAAATTTAAAAAAAAAAAAAAAGCACTCTGTTTAGAAGTAGGAAGTAGTTATGCCAAAGAAAATGATTTCGCTTTCTCCTTGACTAACATACATTAACTTGATAAATTTTTCTAAGCCCTCAATCAATGGGTCTGGGAAAATATTTTCCATAAAATAAACAAAGCCTTAGAAACAGCACAACGTATAATTAAAAGAAGACATGGTACTATAAAAATAAATTTGAAACTGTAAATTCATATACGAGAGTAATTGTCTTTGATAATAAGTCATCGGCACAATTACACATTTATTTTAAGATATGTCTGAAATTTTCAGGAGAAAGAAGCAATGTAAGTCGCAATGGCCATCTCTTCCGTTGTCTGATAATTGTTAGCATCATTGTTCAATGGATGGACATTGTTATTTTAGGCATTGCTAGTATTTAGAGCACATTTTCTGTACACAGTTGGTCTCAGGAAGTTCTACAACTAAAAAATAACGTTATTAAACCTAAAATATACAACATACTATAGTAATCTCAAAATCACAATAAATTCCAAAAGAGGACAGGCAGATTTTCCCCATGTGTTTGCACAAATCAAGAATTTCCCTATGGAGAACAGATTAACAATTTCTGATCATAGGGAAAAGGTTGAGCTGAAATATAACTAAATATGGTACAAAGACAGAATTGTACACCTAAACTTTGTAAGAGCGAACTTATATGGTAAAATATAAGCCTGAACGAACCTGTATATATCCAAAAACAATGTCTCACACAAAGTAGGCTGTTTAATTGATAAATTATTCCCCGGCTATTTTTTTTTTCACCTCTTCTCCGACTATCGTTGAAGATTTGAAATGAATTTTGCGCTTCCTAGATTTTTTTGATTCAACAGTCTCCTTCAGTTTCTCCAGTGCTGACACATCAAAAAGAAATGAAAGGCTCAGTGCTCTTGGCGCATGAAATGACATTCTCAATGTAAAAATTAGGCCATTCATTGCATTGTTTCCTAATCCAAAACATGACCAACTCTTTAACAGGATATCGCTATAAAGATCTTTGTCAACATATATCACATTATAAACTCTTCCTTCTAGTATATGCCCTTAAATGTGAAAAAACCACCAAAGATATAAAGAAACCAAGAAACGAAGAACCAATTGAGCATAGCTCAATTAGGATACTAGGTCTTGGGTTCAATACCCAGGCTTGTTCCAAAAGCACCCAAAAATTAAAAGCAACCAGAAAACTACCGCAAATGGACTGGAAATCAGTTGAGAGTTATCAAAATTCAAACTTTTAAGTCAATGGTGCAGATAAGCAAATCCAAAATGAATATTTCTCAATTAAATTGCACCTGTACCAAAACTCAAAGCAGGTTCATCAATGCAGTTATAAGCTTATCATTAGAAAAGAAATCTAGGAAATTACCTGACATATAAATAGGGTGAAGCGACTCAACCAAGCTGGAAGGGACAGAGTAAACAGGAAAAGAATTATTGTCAGCCTTCTGTAATAGTTTCTTGAAACGCTTTACCTGTAACAAGTAAAATTTTAGATAATTTGCATACCATGTTACAGATGAAATTCTAAATTCAGCTGAACTTGGTAAATGCTAGTTCCAATGACCAAGTTTAGTTCAGTTGAGCTCAATCTCAATCAAGAATAACTTGGCCTCAAACCAGCTCTACCATATACAAATGAGAGATATATACTCATTACACATCAAACCCATTCAATAGATAATCCTTGAGATAAGATCTTAGTTTCAGACCAGCTTATCACTTCAGTTGCAAGCCGAACTGTCTAGAGGAGTCGTTGGTGTCAAGCTTGAGATTCTAGTTTGAATCCCCAGGAAACACCTAATTTGGACCCAATGATGGCATATAAAATTAAGCAATATATTTCAAGCAAGGCTGGACCGATACTCATACCTCTTCTCTATGCAACAATGTGAAACAACGGCCAGTCTGGCCTGCTCTAGCTGTTCGACCAGCACGATGAATATATCTCTTTATGTGTTTAGGACTATCATAGTTTATAACATTTTTCACCCCTTCAACATCCATTCCACGAGTCATTGCATCAGAGGAAACAAGTACTTGTATCTCCCCTTCACGGAAGGCCTTCAATGTCTTGCTGCAGTATTTGCTTGTATTACTTTCAATTTGTTAAATAATTTAGATCGATAAACATTAATTCTTTCCCATCATTACAAATGCCAAGTGATGTTAGTTAGCATTGGACATCAGAACAACTAAAATATGCTCTCCATAACACTATTATATGTTATTCATCAAAACCTCTAACAAGAGGTTCCCCTAGATTATGAAGTAATATGCCATATCAAGTTTCTAGTTGGAACAGCAGAACAATCACAAGTTTTATAATCAAACATCATAATATTTTGCATTATGATGGTGGAGCACTACTTTAAGTAATCATTCTAAATACCAGCAGACAAGAATTCATTTAAATTCTCCTACAGTTGTGATATACTTTTCGTGGATCCCACAGTTATAAAATTGAAAAGTAGATAAATTACCTTCTCACGGATTGAGGTTGATGACCGGTATACATCTTGATCTTGACTTTTAGATCACCAAAAAATTTGAGCAAGTTGAAAAGCAAATCAGTTGACTTCACTGATGATGTGAAAACAATGCACTTCTCCCCTTCTAAATTTTGTAGAAGAGCAGCCAGGTAAAGAGGTTTCAGGTTAGACTCACAAATCTGCATGGAAGATGGAAATTTGATTGCAGCAGAGGGAATTAGACATAAATACTTTTGTTGAAAACATCAATGCTGGCAAATGAGCTTTTCTTTACAACTGTGAAGCTTCAGTTAAGTCAAAGGCATATAGGCAAGTCAGGATAAATAATGAATCATGTTAAATAGTTAATATAGGAATTTAATAGCCAGCATTCAAATTTCAGAACATCTTAAACTTTCCTAACTACTCAAAATCAACGTGTCATATTAATATTTTATAATCCTCTATAGAAATCTAAATTTAACATCACTTATACACGCTCAAAAACCATGCTTGACACAGACAAGGAATTTAAAAATTCTTCGAGTTTCTTGATGCAATTCTAACACTAGAAATTGTGAGGTTTTCTTGACAGGAAGGAGTCCTAGATCCTACAATGAGGCTTTCTTTTGATAGGAGTGAGTCCTAGATCCTACAAGTATGATAATGGTAGTTTCATTTTGTTTGTTCATTTATCCTTCTCTAAGATCAGATCTTCCCAGTTACTTTTAACCCTAATTCTTGATTTCTACAAACCGTAGCCGTAATCCCTAAGAACTAAGTTTTCCATACTTGTACCATTTCATTGCTGAACCTCAAAAATGACAAACTTACTCCAATCTAAATAAATAAATAGTCAAAAGACTCATGGCCTGCTAAAGTAGGAATAGGTGATCTAAGGTTTCTCCATAATCATGGAAATGAAGCCAATAAATATAGATGCAACTTCCCTTTTGTTGCATTAAGATAATATCTTCTGGTCACAAATTATAAGCAAAATTTCCTTGAATTATGTTTTCCACCATCCCAATACAAATTGCCAATTATGAAAGCTCCAAAGCTGTATGAAAACTGAGGTTTGAATTAATTTCATTTGGAAACCTGTTCCCCTTGAAAATATCCCAAGCTTCAACATTTTTTATAGCTTTCAGACATTCTTCAACTTTTTTTCCCATCTCATATCAAGTTATTTTTTAAATTCCATTCATAGTAAGGTAGTAATACTGTACTAAGTAAAAAGTTTAGGCATAAATTAAAATGGTCTCAGAATTCATTGCCTGTAACTTTTCATATTGCTGCCTGATAATAAGGTAAACTCCACTAGTTGTTTAAAATGGAGTCAGTAGCATGTTGAAAATTGACCTAGCTTACAAGTACTGTTACAAAACCATACCACTCTATAGGATTCCAACTTTTCAGGAAGTTTATAACGCCTAGGCCCAGTTGTCAAGAACAATGGATGATGCAGATCAAGTTGAGCGAGTTTGCTTGGATCTTGTGTTAACGTGGCAGACAAAACCATCTTCACAAGCCTAGGGTAAGGTTTGCCCTTAAAGCCCCTCTCAACACCACTGCAACAAATTTGAAGCTTTAATTATATGTAAGTAGAAGTTAACATAAATCTTTATCCATCTTTCGGACAAAAATAATAGGGAGAAATTTCAACTGCTGTGTTAATTTGATCAAGGAATTTGATTGATGCTTCCAAACCCAAAGAACACATCAGTCATTTCAAGCATCAGTAAGTTGGTAACCATGACAATCCTAGCATCAGTAGCAACCAAGTGAACTATATTTGCTAAAGTAGAAATAATGGTGCATGCCATGCTCATAGCAAGAACTAGAAAAATTTGAAAGTGAACAAAAAAGAAGGAAAAACAGAATAGAACTCACCATCTCCTTATGGTTTTCAAAGAACCAAAAACAGGAGGAAGGTAACTATTAACATGAGGAATGATACTTTCATCATGAGAACTAGTCATTTTCAGCACATTAGGAAGCCAAGACTGGTATGCCTCCCTGAGTAAGCGATCTGTTTCATCGACAACCTAAAATAGCTTAATTATCAGCATATGTTCAACCAAACAAGAAACAACAATAAATGGAAGTCTGCTAAAATAAAGCCCATGCACACAACCAGATATGTCATTTTAACACTTAAATTTATTTTCCCAAACAAGTTCTCCCACAGTGAAGAAACACAAGCTATTTTCCCAATTTAATGTCAGTAGTCAATTAAAAAAGATCAAACTGATACAATAAAAGAAAAAGTTGTGCTCAATAACCACCAAGAAATCTGCTATAAATCAATGGAATCTCCACTCTATTGAACAAGTTGAAAACCACAAACTGAGGAAATGCGCACAAGATCCTTTATAACTGACACTAACTAATTCAGTTACTCTTCCTATATATTTTTAAGTAAATATATCATGAAACTCATCATTAGCTTGAGCATATAGGGATGAATTCTGAGTCAATGCACACGTAAAAACAAATTCCACCAACAATCAGTTTCTAAAAAAACTTTTATCTAGATGAATAGCAGTTAAGCCATACGTATCGCAAGATATAATATAATATAATACACGAAATGCACATAAAAAGTATCACCTAAGCGTAATCCATAGAGATTAATCATAAACACGAAATGCCTTAAGAGTTCAGATTTCCAAGATACACATGTAACTGAGTTATCACATTCTGCTACTTACAAGATACCGTAGGTGCTCAAGTGTAAATCCCTTAGTGCTGCTAATATGATCCATAAGCCGTCCCGGAGTCGCCACCAATATATCCACAGCACTCTCTAACTCTTGCACAAAATCTTCTGGGTCATAACAAATGCCTGCCTCAAGCTTAGGTCTTTTAATAAGACCAGAAATTTCCAGAGCAATTGAAGATTGGCCTACAGCCAAACCAACCGATAAGCCTACTGCAGGTGCAATTGCAGCAAAAACGTCTTTAACCTGTATGGCTAAATCACGAGTGGGCAAAACAACCAAAGCACGTATACATCTAACAGCAGAAGTTGATAACATTTGGACAAGCGGCAAAGCATAAGCTAATGTTTTCCCACTTCCAGTTGGTGAATTTACGCAAATATCGCGCTCAAAACCACCAGGTCCAATCGTTTCTTGCCAAACAGCAACTTGTACGGGAAAGAGTGATGAGAAACCCATGTTCTGCAATGCCACCTTCAACCTTAATTAAAAGATAAAAAAATAAAAAATAAAAAATAAAAAAGTTTAGAATTTTAAACTGAGCAAAAAATACTAAGAAAAATGACATAGCAGCATAATAGAGAAGTGGGTACCTGGGGTCAAGGCAAGGGAGGAGCTCAATGGGGCAATTTTGAAATTCACTAATGTCAACTGGTCTTCTCATCCATGGCAAAAACGGCATACGCTTCTTTGCTGTTGATTCCTCCATTATTCCCCTCTCTTTCTCCATCTCTTGCCCAAAACTCACATTAAACCCCAAGATACAGTGCAGGAACTAGGGTTTTACAGTGAGGGAGGGAGGAAGAAGAAACAGAAGGGCTCCAAGTAATTCACTGGGGCCCAACAGTTCCAGATTTAGGCCTAGCCCAGTTCAACTCTTCAAGTTTAAAACCAACGGCCAAATTTTATCGGTAAATTTACGGTAAAAAAACTCCACTTTTGCAGGCCCATCAAAGAACAAAAGATAAATGCTCAGTTGGACCTTGAACTTTGTTGTACGTACGTTTGCACATTCCACAAAATTAGCGGTTACGTTTTATTACCAAATACAATCTTAATCTTAAAACATAAATTTCAAACTTTTGAATTAACTTAGCACATAAATTTTGAGTTCATAATTAAATTAGAAAATTCATTTTACTTTTTTTTTTAGGAAAAATTCATTTTATTTTGAGTAGAATTAATAAAATGCTACATGTTATATTATCAAAATAACAAAGACACTTAAAAATAAAATAAAAACAGAAAAAAATTCAATATTAGTGAAGTTGGAGAATATAATAGTAATAATAACAATAACCAACCATTTTCTATTCTCACTTTTAAGTTTTTTATTAAGATTTTAAATATATCTAAAATTAAAAAATGAAAAACATATAACAAGATAAGTATATAACAAGATAAGTGGAGAACATGAACCCAATCAATGTTATTAGGCAAAAAAAAAAACAACAGCCTTAGATAACACATGGAATGATTCCTTAATCTCCTCATAAAACAAAGATTAATGATTAATAATTATTTAAGGACAATCATTTATTATTAAACCATAGTACGTCAAACTTTTCTAGAATCATTAACTATTAACTTTTAAATGATTGAAATTTTGATTTAATGATATTAAAAATTTATTTTTAAATTTGTAAAATTATGAAATCCTCACAATAGATAACCTGACCAACGTAAATAAAATACATATTAAAATCTTAAAGTTGCTGTTGTGCAAAGTCAATGTACTATGCTAATTCCTAAATCAATATTAAAGAAAATATATATTAAAATCAAGATAAGATCGATTTAGCATCACACCCCACTACCAATAAATTTATTATTTAATTTTATATTATATATTCAATTTTTATTTTGATGCCTTTCGCATTTCAACTTAAACTATTGAATTAAACACTTTAATTCATAAATTAATTCATAAAAATATAAAAATTAATTGTTCGAAAAGTTATATTAACAAGACATCAAAATAATATTAACAAAATTTTAAAAACTATTATTATTTGTATAAAAGGACTAGCAATACTAGCAAAATTAATAATTTTAGAAACAAAACAAGTATCTCTCAAAATAGTGAGTACCATAAAAAATACATAATAAAATTCATGCATTTTATATAAGAATAAATTTGTTAATCATTAATCTAAAATTTTATTATAATAAATTAAGAACATCAACTATAAATTGCTTTTATTCTCATATATTTTTAACATTTTTATATAAATATTTAAAATTTTTAAATATTGCGAGAAGTAATTGAAATCAGAATATACGTATATGGTATATGTACTTACCGGTATGTTTTATTGCTACAAGTGTTTAAATTTAAAAGCCAATAAATTCATTATTATATAAAATCCAGTTTGTAACATTTTTGCATATTATTTTATCACATCTGAAGCATTTAACCAATAGATTCTCTCGGTAGTTGGAGGGAATAGCTAAGCTTAAATAGAAAATTGACATATTGGAAAAAAGACACAAAGCTGACTAACAAAATTACAAATGGACTAAAAAATATTAATTTAACTAGAATCTTCAAATTTAAATAATATAATCCCACCGTGTTATTTTATTTGCATAGTTTGACAAAACACATATATTAAGAATTTAGTCAACAAAGTGATTTTGCGCTTATTTATCCTCAATAACTCATTAAGATACTAAAATCTCTTAATTTAATGAATAATTGGAAAGGTTATTATGAAAAAAATAATTATTTACATATTTAAATTTAGAAAACTTGCAAATATTTTGAGACATCTAAAAAAAAAAAATAACAATCAAACAAAATGAGACGGATGGAATATTATGTTTAATTATATGATCATGATATAATTAACTTGATCTCCGAAACGATGTCGTCGCTGACTAACGATAAGTGAGGATTGCCGGGTGTCCCAAATTTATTTAATAAGACTAAATGACCGAACATAACATTGGAAGATTCCTCCCTTTTAAAATGCTAGGATATAAAGTTTCAAATAATTGATTAAAATTTTCGAAGCATGATTATTTATGTAATTATTAGTTCAATGTGGAATTTTGTATCCTTTGAATTGATACAGCATGAATGTTTTTTATATTTTTAAATCATTTAATAAATATTTAATTGATGAAAATTTACAACGTTGGAATGTTAAATAGAAAATTTTTATAGATTTAAATGTTTAATAAATGCAATTTTATAAATTAAAATGTCTAACGTGTCAAAATAAAAATAAAAACACCATAAAAAAATTTCTATAAAATATAAAAGGTATATTTATTTATGCATTTAATCATCCTCCATCCGATTTTTAAAGTTTTTCTCGCACATTTTTTTTTTTTTTAATAGTATTGTGGACAATGAACATATTTTCTCAAACACGTGTTAAATAAATTTCGGATGCTAGAAATTAATAGAGAAGATTCTTCATAAATTGAAATCAGAATTTGGTATGAAACTTCATTAACCAATTGTATTTCTCAAACAGTAACGCTAAAAACTTTGCTACTTCAATTATTTTTTCTTTTTTCTACTGAACATCAAGATTAGATCTGAGTCATTTTCACTAAGACCAATATTTAAATATTTGATATAATTTATAATAATATATTTAAAATTGTGATATGGAATTATTTTAATTACAACAGTCTATATTTAGATCGTAACATATATATTTTGTATGTAGAATTCAATGAAAAAAACAAAGGGGATGAACATAGATATTAGAGTATTATTACTAAAAGTTTGATTCATTCTAAACAGACAAATACATTTCTTCGTAATAATTATATATTGTTGCTTAAAACCTTAAAATTACAACATATTTTAATAAGAAGCGTACCGAATTTTTATTTCCACTTTCAGTTATAGACAAAATCGGTCCACATGGCGGGGGGCCTTCATGTCTTTCCATTAAGGGAAGTAAGTCAAGGTAAATCAATTATGCAATCCATCAAAACCCAAGAATATTATTGTATACATGAAGAAATCAATCATGCTCACAATTTAATTAAAAAATGAAAATCATAAAATAAGTGCATGAAGTCACCGCCATTAAATACGATCCAGCATTGATCCAATTTAGCATTTATTCGATTAAAATTGATTTAATCCACAAGTCGGTTCACTTATCGAGTCATAAATATATTAATAATTAATAATATATATTAAAAAGAGAATCGGTGTAGATCTGGATTTGTGAAGGGTGATTGGTGAGACCATTTCAATCCCTTCAGTCTAATTTTAAATAGTTTAAAAATAATATCAATTTAATTTTAAGTTTGATTCTCCAAATTGATCAGTTAACTACATGTGAAATAGTACGTTGTCTAAATCAATAATGATAATAATAATAAAAAAAATAGTAGGAATTTTCACACGCATTAATATTTTACCAAAAACAATGATTGATGATGACATTTCTCCTCTCTAGTTTGGAGACCGAGGAAAGGAAAGGTGAGTGAATGTAAAACTACAATATCCTTGTTAGGAATTAGGATTAACTAACGCAAAGTTATAAGTCCAATAAAGAAGTACGTAATTCCATTTTTATTAGAAGGGTAAATAAGTAAACTAAGATTTTAAAATCAATCATTTTCTTACCTTTTAATTGTATTTTCCATATAATTCCCAAACCGGTTACCGGATGTTTCACGATTTATTTGTGGGCCCAACAGAAAGAATATTCCGCGAATTTCATTTTTTTCCCTCCTGTACGAATCAGGAGGAAAATCTCATTACGACAAATCGAATTTTAACACATTGGTCAATTGAATCCTTTTTTTATTTTTTAATTTATACTATAACTGAGACTTTTGAACTTTCACTTTTACTCAATTGAATCCCTAATTAATTTTTTTAGGGAATCCCTGATTAAATTTCACTAGATAAAGCTATTAGAAATAATGGTAAAGTATACATTTTTGAGAAAAAAATCAAATGTTAATTATGCATGCAAATGCTAATTTATAGAATAAGATAAAATTGTTATTATTATAGTAACATTAACCAAAAGAGCTTTCTGATTTATCAATTTATACTTAATCTTTCAAAAAAAAAAAAAAAACATTACACTTGAGTTAAGCTCAATGATGAAAATATAGTTAGTAAAGCCAATGTTCATTAGTTTTATGTACAATCATTTAGGTAATTTTAGTTAATTAAAAATAAAAATTTACAGATTTAATTAATTTAAATTAAATAAAGGAAATCAATTAACCATTTCACATCATAAATTTCAATCATTGTCCAATTAATTTAGCTATTCTTAATCTTATTTTAGATGAGCAAAAACATGGATGGAGAAAGTTATGCCGGTTGTTTTAGCTAATACTCTTTCTATTGGTTAATGGAATTTTGATTGTTTTTCTTAAAAAAAAAAAAAAAAAACTTAACAACTCTGATTAGTTATTAGCTCAATATGATGAAAATATAGTTTAGTAAAGCCCAATGTTCATTAGTTTTATGTACAATCATTTAGGTATTTTAGTTAACTTAACAATAAAAATTTTTAAGATTTAATTAATTTAAAATTAAATAAAAGGAAAATCAATTACCATTTCAGCATCATAAATTTCAAATCATTGTCCAATTAATTTAAGCTATTCTTACTTATTTTAGATGAGCAAAAAAACATGGATGGAGAAAGTTAATGCCGGTTGTTTTAGCCTAATACTTCTTCCTATTGGTTAATCCAGGAAATTTTGAATTGTCTTTTTCTTAAAAAAAAAAAAAAAAAAAACCATTTCACATCTTAAGCACGAAAAAGAAAATATAGTTATTTCATTAATTTTTTTTCTATCTTCTATTTATTTTCACTATTTCTTCTCCTAAATATCGATTTAAATATTGCCATCTAGCAATCATATACGATACTCTAATTTTTTTTTTTTATTTTATGTGAATGTAGTAATTAATCAAAAATAATTTTATTTTATTATGTCATATATAAAATAAAAGTTTACACATTTTTAGTTAATTGTTTCAAAAGTCAATTGTAAATTTATAACTAGAATGTTAAATTTAGATAATAATAATTTTATATAGGAAAATCGGGGAAAAAATTTTCTTTTTCATTTATTTAAACATTGAGGCAAAGCATTTACTCCGGAGATAAAAATTTACTTATGTGTAGAGTTATTTTCCAAATATAAAGATATTAGAAGTTCTATATTGTATTTTTTTTTTCCTTTTATTATCAAAATGAATTGCCGATATTACAAAATAAAGAGTACTTAATTTTAATAAATATATTATATATTTTATTTGGATCTGTTCTGGCGGGTAAATTTACTTTTAATAATGCTTATTGGAAAGCGGAACCAATCTCACAATAAATAAAAATACACAGACCCATTCGACCCAGTTACTAACGCCTCCTAAGCATTTGGACGAAATATAAATTTGTGAACTTTTTGACTCAAAATCACAATCAAAAAACCACCTAAGTAAACCGGACCAAAGAACTTACAAGCCTTTTTCCGATTTAACCAGCACGCCCGCAGCTTTTGAGGATAACGTCTTTCCAGATATACTCTTTCCCAGAGATCTCTGACACAATTGAGTTTTATTAAAAAATTTGTTTAAGATGCCAAACGAAATGGCAAGGTTGGCTAGTGTGAAATTGCTTTTCTAAAAAAAAAAAAAAAAAACCATTTCACATCTTAAGCACGAAGAAAATATAGTTATTTTATTATTTTTTTTCTATCTCTAGTTATTTTCACTATTTTCTCCTAATATCATTTAATATTCATCTACATATATACGATACTCTATTTTTTTTTTTTATTTTAATGTGAATGTAGTAATAATCAAAATATTTTATTTTATTATGTCATATATAAAATAAAATTTACAATTTAGTTTTGTCTAAGTCAATTGTAAATACTAGAATGTTAAATTTAATATAATATTTTAAGAAAATCGGGGAAAATTTTCTTTTTCATTTATTTAAAAAGGCAAGTATTTACTCCGGAGATTAATTTCTTATGTTAGAGTTATTTCCAAATATAATATTTTAGAGTTCTATATTTGTATTTTTTTTTCCTTTTATTATCAAATGAATTGCCAATTTACTAAAATAAAGATATTTATTTTAATAAATATATTATATTATTTTTTGGTCTGTTCTGGCGGGTATTACTATAATGCTTATTAAGCGGAACCAAATTCCATAAATAAATAACAGACCCAACACCAGATAACGCCTTCCTCGCATTTGGACGAAATATAATATTTTGATTTTGCTAAAATCACATCAAAAAACCACCTATGACCCCAAAGATTCAACCCTTCGATTTAACAGCCGCCCGCAGTGAGATAACGTCTCCGATTTCATCTTTCTCGAGATCTCTGCACATTGTTTTTTAAAATTTGTTTAGCCAGAATTCAGTTGCTAGTGTGAAATTGCTGCTTGTCTCTTTTACATGATTGAAGTGGATTCGATCAAATTTTTTCTTTCTTCTTGTAGGATTTAATTTTTATCTTCATTTATGTTTATCGACTCATGGGGTTCAAATTTGATGAAGTCGTCAGTAGTCTTTTCTTTTCTTTATGTCTCGAAACATTTTCGTTGACATAAGTTTTTTGAAGGTTAATCTTCCTGTAGGAATCTAGGGTTTGTATTTCTGTTTTTGTTTTTAGGAAAAGTGAAGGAAGATGAGGGTGGAAAAGTCTCAGGTCTGGCAACCTTGCAAGAAGAAGAGATTTTAACGATTGGCAATAGAGAGGGACGGCGGAGACACAGAGGAATTGAAATTTGGAATATTCAAGAGGAGGGAATTTAATTCCATTTTTAGGTATAGAAAGTGACAGTGACAAAAGGGAATTTCGAAATCCTACAAAAAATAGTTTGGGAAAAAAAGGGAAAAAAATGACTTCTAGAGGGAATGCTGCGAGTAGGACGCGCGTAGGGAGGTACGAGCTTGGAAGGACACTGGGAGAAGGAACATTTGCGAAAGTGAAGTTTGCTAGGAATACTGAGACCGGTGAAAATGTTGCGATTAAGATTCTTGATAAAGAGAAGGTTCTCAAGCATAAAATGATCGGTCAGGTATCGAGTAATTTTATATAGGCCTTGCTGTTTTGTTTTTGATGATTTTGTTGTTTGCTTACTCGTTAATTTCATTTGATTATATGATTACTGCAATTTTTTAAAATTATCTTGAAGTCTATTTGGTTGCCGAGCAACTGAACTGGGAAAAGAAGGAACGAACAACGATGTAAATTTTAAGATGAAAGGTGGAAAAGTCAACTTGTAAAGGGTAGAATCGTCGTTTTGCTGTCATGGAGGACAGTCGATTTATTCATTAGATTGTTGCTGTTGGGCTAGTTTTTGTTACTGTTCTCTTTAGTTGTTTTTTTTTTTCCGTTGATTGGCTGTGTAATTTTCTTGTCTGTTATTCTATCAATTCTCAATGTGCTAGGGGAAGGAAAATAATTATTTGGGGTTTGGAATCTAAATTTGTGCTAGTAATGCTCTTCCAGCTTGTTTCGAGGAAAAAAGAATTTTTTTTTTTTTTTTGGTTTAAGCTAAGTTAGTGCTGCATCTTCATTTTAGGCTCCTTATCTTGCTAGTTTTTATCTCATTGTAAAATACCATAGCAAAGAAAATAATAAAAAAAAAAAGCAAATTTAATTTTCTCACCAGTAGAGACTTTACTTTTTGGGTTCTATGTAAACTTAAGGTGTGTGTTAAATTACAGTAATGACATATTGGGCATAAACATAATTGCTGTTTTACCTAACGACTTCATATGGTTTCCTTGTTTTCCTTTTGCAGATTAAACGTGAGATTTCAACCATGAAACTAATTAGGCACCCAAATGTGATCCGTATGTATGAGGTTTGAAGTCCGTTTACATTTTTATTGATTCTTTTAAACTGTAAGTCATTTGAGTAGTATTGGTCTTGTTCGTGCTTGTCTTTTGGGTTTCTGTATCATCCATCTTGTATACCTGAATATCAAAGTGTCAATCCAAGTTTTTTTTTTTCTGTGCTTAAGTTGCATAACTCAATTAAAGTACTATTTTTGTTGTAGGTGATGGCAAGCAAGACAAAAATATATATTGTTTTGGAATTTGTTACTGGTGGTGAACTTTTCGACAAAATTGTAAGCTGGATAACTGAAAACAATACTTCCAAATTATTGTTGTGCAGAATGTTAAAGAACTCTGTTTATTTTATTATTATTATTATTATTATTTTTTTTTTTTTTGGTTTTTGTGCTGTTTTCTTGAGTCAGGCAAGCAAAGGGAGGTTGAAAGAGGATGAAGCAAGAAAGTATTTTCAGCAGCTTATAAATGCTGTGGATTACTGTCATAGCAGAGGAGTGTACCATAGAGACCTGAAGGTTTGATGACTTATATTTGCAACTGACACGAATACCTAGAATTGCTTTAGTTGAGTTTTTAAGGGGACGCACTTCTCTCTTATTGCTATGATGGTTTATTTCTTATGTAAGATTAGAATTTTGGTGCAGCCTGAGAATCTGCTGCTGGATGCTAGTGGAGTTCTTAAAGTTTCAGATTTTGGATTAAGTGCGCTGCCTCAGCAAGTTCGAGTGAGTTTAATAACTTCATGGCCTGAGTACTCTGCAATTTATCTCACTCAATATGTAACATATAGTGGCAAGTCAATTTGCAAATGCATCAGTTGTCATGTAGAGATTTTTCATACAGTAGTATTACTGATTTTCTTGAATGTCATTTAGGAAGATGGGTTACTTCACACCACATGTGGAACACCGAATTATGTTGCTCCAGAGGTGTGCCAGTATTTTCTGCAGACCATTATTTCTTGCGTCATCAATCCTTTGTTTTCCTTTTCCAATTATTTGGTGCTTCACTTTTCTAGGTCATCAACAATAAAGGCTATGATGGAGCTAAGGCAGATTTGTGGTCTTGCGGTGTGATCCTTTTTGTCTTAATGGCTGGTTTCTTGCCTTTTGAAGAGTCCAACCTTATGGCTCTATATAAAAAGGTGACTAATTCCATCGTTTCCTGCAACTTATTTTGTATGTGCACTGGTTTTTGAGACTACTCAAACGAAGTGTATGAAAAAAATTCTAGTCATATGTGATATTTGGGTGATTTGGTGAGAATATTTTCTGTTAACATTATTATGATCTATGATTGGAGTGCTGATCAAGATCCCTTGCAATGTCTTTGCCTCCTTAAAAATCTTGCTTGTTAAATGATGAAATATTTGTTGTTCATAAGCTGTCTAGTGTAGGGGAAAGGAAAAGCACACATCAATGATATTTTGCAGTTGCACTTTAATATTCTTTATTGCTATTTTCAAAATGTATATATCTCTTGGCACTTCAGATGTTTCTTCTAGAAGTCATTTGCTACACAGAACATGATGCACTGTAACTACGTAGAAATTTGGTGTGTGCATGACTTACATGCATAAATTGCAAGCTTTTGCTGATGTCTGGCACATTGATATACAAAAGCTTTAGAGAGATTGTGAAGGAGCCAATCACAAGGTAACAAGCCAGTCACAAATAGATTTACCAGCTGTTCTATTTATTGTAGAAGTCCGATTGACCAGGATTTCAAAATGGCAATAGGAGAATAAATGGTTCATATATAATCCTCTGGTCTTCTAAAATGGGAGTTTGTTGTTGTTTGAATTGATATATGTATGCATCCTATTGAAAAGCTTTGTAAATCATTATGTTTTAAGTTTATAGCTGGCTATATATGGTTCCTATGTGATTGCAGATATTTAAGGCGGACTTCACATGTCCTCCGTGGTTCTCATCGAGTGCAAAGAAACTAATCAAAAGAATTCTGGATCCAAATCCTTCAACCGTATGTCCCCCTCTCTTATTCTTTTAATATATGATTTAACGAAACACATCACAGCACCAGGGGCATTTGAATTTACTATCTATTCTAATGGTATGTAACAGCGTATTACTATTGCTGAAGTTATTGAAAATGAGTGGTTCAAAAAGGGATATAAACCACCCACTTTTGAACAAGCTGATGTCAGTCTTGATGATGTGAACTCTATCTTTGATGAATCAGGGGTAAGATTCCTTTATTTTGGTTGTATATTGTTATTTTGTTACTACTATGTGCTTAATTTTCTTCTTGGTGGACAGGATTCTCAAAACCTTGTTGTGGAGAGGCGAGAAGCTCCTATAGGGCCTGTTGCACCTCTGACTATGAATGCATTTGAACTTATCTCCACGTCTCAGGGTCTTAACCTCAGTAGTCTTTTTGAGAAACAAATGGTATATTTTATTTTAGTCCTGGGTCTTCATCTACCTTTATTCTTTTAATGTGTAAAATTATTGCCCCAACTCGCAGAGTTGTAATGCAACCCCTGCCTCAACTCACTGTACCCCAACAGAAAAATAAATAAACAAATGAAAAATAAAATAAGAAAAATCATATAATTTGTTTTGAGCAGGATGTTGTAAAATATCGCTGAATGAACAGTCAAGAGTAATTGTTGTGTCTCATCTTGTATGTTACTCGTTAACTCTCTGGTTTGATGAGCCATACCTCTTTAGGTATGGAGTCTTATATGAGTTATTCTTTACCAAAAGCTTAACAGAGTACATTTCCTTTGTTGACCAGGGCCTTGTGAAACGGGAAACTAGATTTACATCCAAATATTCTGCTAACGAGATAATAACAAAAATTGAAGAAGCTGCAATGCCTTTGGGTTTTGATGTAAAGAAAAATAACTTCAAGGTTGGATTATCTCCATTCTTCCCAATGTGAATTTAGATGGATTATCTGGATTTCTATCCACAACTTCATACTTCTTTTTGCAATGGAGTTCCTAAAAATAATTGCATGATTACGTGGCATTTTTCCCTACATTTAAGCATGCATTTCTTCTTGATACTTGTAAATCAGCTTTGATTCAATACCAAAGATTAGCTCATGTGACTGGAAGGCGTGAATTGTTTTAGTACTTGATTGCATGAAATTGTTATTTAGCAATTGTTTTAAAAGGTGAATAATATTCGAGGTGAAACATTGGGCAAGTGCTAATCATCTAGTTGTTCTTTTATTAACAGACTGCTCGCTATCACTATTGCTTATAATTGGCTACCTCATGTTAGGGATCATAATGATGGCATGGATATGATCGATTGACTGAAAATTTCTTTCCATTTTTGGTCATTTTTAAATTTATAATACAAAAGTGAGTGATCTTTTATTAAAGCTCTTGCTGGCCAAAGCGTACTGCTGATGGCAAGAGTCATTAGTTGCATGATTCTTGTTACTTGATGAATAATAAGATCAAATTTTAAAGAAACCAAAAATAGTGGTGTAACGTGTATTCCCACTTTCTGATCATGGAATAGATGAAATGAAATAAATCGATGATGTTAAAATTTTAGCTGTTCTGTTATGGTCAACAGTTAGATTTTTATCTCTAATGGAAACCATTTTTCTCTTTCCAATATCAGATGAAGATTCAGGGGGAGAAGACTGGACGCAAGGGTCACTTATCTGTTTCGACAGAAGTATGTTTTGATACTTGAAGATCAGCTAGACAGAAAACAATATTCCTGTGGTACTAAGATTATTCTTTATTGAGATATTCTCTTTGTTTCAGATCTATGAGGTGGCCCCTTCTCTTTATATGGTTGAACTTCGCAAATCAGCTGGAGATACCCTGGAATTTCACAAGGTATGATACTAAAAAATGTTTATGCTTGTGTTGCTTCTGATAAAGGAGACAAGTTAATAGAAAACAGTCTCAGCTTTGACAACAATCAGTGATTGCTTCTGCAGCCAGGTCATGTCTATTCCTGGTTATTTGTTGTTATTGTGATGTTACGAAAAAGCTCAATATGCTTTAAATATGTTAATGCGATGTGTTGATACGTACAAACAATGATTTTCTAGGCTTCTGGCTTATGGAAAGGTACACAAGCCCATTCTTTAATTTTCTCTAATTTTGAAATTACTTACAGTTCTACAAGAACCTATCAGCTGGACTGAAAGATATTGTTTGGAAAACAATTGATGAAGAAAAGGGAGAAGGGTCAAATGGTTAGTATTTGTTGGGAAAAAATTTTATTTGTAGGCTGAAATGGTGCAGAATTGGAGTTCTAAAAACATCTCTTTTTTTATGTGATTGGAACTTTGTTTTGCTTTTATGGGATCTTGTAATAATTGCAAAGATCGATAAATTAGACTCTTCACATTTCTGATGCTTACTGCCTGTAAGCATTTAAGTAAATTGATATTTTATTTCTTTTCTACAGGTGCTACGGTGGTTCCGACACAGTAGTCTATAGATGAATTCTTTTCCATGAAACTCCAAATATTTGATCTTTGAAAGAAATATCATCTGTAGTTGGGAGTGTATATTGATTGCTATACAAGATATAAAGTATGTATTGTAATTTTCCAATGAACTTGTGACATGAACTTGCTTATGTATGGTATCCATGGCTTGGTTTGATTTGGTTCAAACAATGAATGCATCAGTGGTTTTTCTTTAACCATCAATATTGGATGCATAAATGTATTTATTGTTCCTTTTTTCAAAAGGAAAGTATATGAAAACATATATAAGACGTAATATGTGTTTGAAATATAAATTATGATATATTGTTTGACTTTGTGATCTTTTGGCAAGTCAGTCTATAATTTCATTATTTTTTATCTATGAGATAGCAAAAAGAAACAAGACACAAGATCTACCAAAATAAATAATTAGAAACAAACTACAAAAAAAAAAAAAAAAAAAAAAAGTGAGAAAACGATTGATGGACAACCTAAATAATGCAGATGAATGACGGCGGTGGAGGAGATTTTAGGAGGGATGGAAGGAGAAACGAGACAATAAAACCTCTTTTATCTTATATGTAATAAATGTTTTTATATATCTGCTCAGGTTCAAGTTGAAAGGGAAAAAAAAAAAAAAAAAAAAAAAGCAGGTGAGAAAACGGATTGATGGACACCTAAATAATGCAGTGAATGACGGCGGTGGAGGGATTTAGAGGAGGGAGAGGGAGAAAACGAGACTAATTAAACCTCTTTATCTTATATGTATAAATGTTTTTATTATTCTGCTTCAGTGTTCAGTTGAAAGGGGAAAAAAAAAAAAAAGCTGAAAAGTATATTCTTCCAACATCAACATATTCCATAAGGGAGTCTTTAGAGGAGTAGAAACAATGTGCAACACGTTCAAGAAAACTAGCCATTCTAATATTAACAACACTTACAAGATAATGAAAACGATTGAGGTGATAAAGTGAGTTTTAAGAAATGGCACTTCATTTCTACAGACTCATGCAATTTATTTTGCAAAGATATAAACTTATACAGCCTTTTTTATTTTATATAAAAAAGGAAAAATAGAAAATTATATTTGACTGTTGACTTGGGCATTACGCGCCACGCAAAGGTTAGATAGAATCAATACTCACTCGATATAAGGCGACGTCCGTGACGCGCGTCTCTCTGGCTCTTTTCGAAACGGGGGAAAAAACCCAAAAAATTTCCCTTGGAGAAGTAAACATGAGAGAAGAAGTTATCAGCTCCGGAGGAGGGAACATGGATCCCACCCCTGCTGCGAGGTACTAGATCCCGCCTAACATCTCTCCCTAACCTCAGCGCATGCATTCACTCAATCTTGATCTCTAATTCCAGGCTTTAGTTGTTCCAGTATTTAAAATCAGCTAGGTGCGGTGAAATTAGGGTTCTGAATTTTCTGTTCTTTGTAGTTGGTTTTCCTTTTGCTTCTTTGGGTTCTTGTTTGGAACGCGGAGGCAAAGAAATGGGAGTCTAATTTTGAGCTTTCACATGTCTTCTTTTTTTTTTTTTTTTCTGGTTTTGAAAAATTCAATTGAGTTTAATGTACTACACTAATAAGTAACTGGGGAAAAAAAATTTCCTTTGTAATTTGTTTTCTATTATGGTTATTTTATTTTCGTAAGAGCTGGAGAGTGTAGTTATGTAACTGGGATTGGCAGTGAGGAGGAGAAAGGAAATCAATTTTTCATGGAATCATGCAATATTTATAAATGTCTTAAGCTTAGTTTTTTGTTCTTATGAAGTGCAATTCTTTTCGCATGTTGCCTTTCTCCAGTTCTGCTGGGGCATCCTCACCTGCTGTACCAGCAAATGTTGGAAGTATAGAGAGGTCCAGTCAAGCTCATAATTCCAAAGCAGCCTCTCTATCTGGTGTTGGCTCACAAGTACCTTGGACCTCCTTGAGCACCAGTGCTGGTGGTTCTGTTCTTGGATCATCAAGGCCTTCATGCAGGCCTTGGGAAAGAGGGGATTTGCTAAGGCGGTTGGCTACTTTTAAGCCGTCCAATTGGTTTGGAAAGCCTAAGGTACCGCTGCATTTATTATACTTCTATGCGGAATTCATGATTACATGATATCTCAGTTTTGTACCCTACAAAAGTAGCTGTTGTTAGGGCAACTATGAAGACTCATATTCAAAATTTAGATTACCCCCTGTAATTGCTACTAGATACCAGCTAAAAAAGAATGGAAATACACTTCTAAATTCCAGGATAAAAAGATTTCACCCACATTCCAAGAATTAAAATTTCAACCTATCCATGAATGCCTGCCTGTGCTTACTAGTTGTGGCTTTTCCAAAAGCTGTTTCCGGCAAAATAGATAAAAACCACTTCAAGTTTTTTTTGTCCAAATTGACCATCTGATGTTTTAGCTAGTTTCAAATTTAAAGCAGCAGTTGGATGCAGAAATGCTTTGGAAAAAGATATAAAAAAATTGAATAACAGGAAGACCTGAAATGGATATTTTGGCAAAAGTGTTCCTGGTGTCATATCGAGATACAAGGATGGTGATTTACTCTATAATCACTTTTAAGACACTTCCGGAGGATTTGCATAACAATTGCTTACAAGGAGGAGATAAAGATATTCCCCATTGACATGTTTCAGTCTAAATCTAGATTCTGAATTTAATTAGTTTTCAGCTCTGTAAATTATTCTGCTTTACAGTGTGACTGTTTCTTCTTTTAGTAAGACTAGAGCAGTTTTGGGTCATAATCATCTCGTTTCTACTTTCTTGCAGATTACTAGTTCATTAGCTTGTGCTCAGAGGGGTTGGATGAATGTTGATATTGATAAAATTATATGTGAATCATGCGGTGCATGCCTGAGTTTTGTTTTGTTACCATCTTGGAGTGCAGCTGAAGGTTAGATATTGTAATTCTAGTACTTCTAATCTCCCTATAGCACTCACTTTCTTTTACCACAGGAGCATCTTTCACTTGTCATGATCTTCATAACATTGATATTATGGGCTGTTTTATGAAGCAGGAGGTGTCATATATCTAACCATAGTTGGTTATATTTGCAAACAGAGTAAGGGGAATTGGCAAAATTGACCTGGTTTTTTTCTCACTTTCGAGACTTACATGAATTATGGATGATTTAGGTAGAAGGATAAAGAGAAGAGTAACTGGAATGTTGCCATTTCTATTTTATTTGCTATGGTGACTAAGCCAATTACTGCAGATAGCTGAATTAGAATCCCAGAGAAAATTACTTTTTTCCATCACATTGAGCTTTATTGCTTTTGAAAAGATCACTCTGGCTTATAATAGGCTTTCATGTTCATCTTACCACAAATAGCAAAATAAGATTGCTTGGAACAGTAATGGCAGAATTTTTCATAGGATAGAAAATCAATTAGAGTCGCTTTCTTATTCTTGAGATTGGATTAAAGTTGTTTCTTCCCATTATTACCTTTTTTAGGCCATGATGTGTTATCTTTGTGTATAAATTGACGTATCCGCTGTTGTCACTGTTTAAGCAAAGTTTATTCGATTGCTAAATCTGACTGTTGCTCATATTGATATTATGCTCTTGTTCCTCTTTGTTTTGCCTTTCTTCTTTTTGAAGTTCAAAGTGCTGCTGAGGCATTTGCGAAACAGCTTGATGATGGTCACAAAGCTAGCTGTCCTTGGAGAGGGAACAGCTGCCCAGAAAGCTTGGTGCAGTTCCCTCCCACTCCTCAATCTGCCCTCATTGGTGGATATAAAGACAGATGTGATGGACTTCTGCAATTTCTATTTCTTCCTATTGTTGCTGCATCTGCAGTTGAGCAGATGCAGGTTTCTCGGGGTCCACTGGTTGATCGCTTTTTGTCCCAGTCTCAGAATTTTACTTCTGGAGATGGAGACTTCAGGTCAGAGTGCATACCAGAACTTGAAACCTCTAGAGATGGATCTGTCTGTCTGTACTCTCAAGTAAGATTTTCTCTTTTATCGTTTTCACTTTGCTGAGTCATTCATAATTTTGCTAATCAGTTACCAGCTCATACTCTTCTAATTTTGTCCATTCTGCTTCTTTCCTCTGGCAGGCCCAAAAGCTTATAAGTCTCTGCGGATGGGAACCAAGATGGCTTCCAAATGTTCAAGACTGCGAAGAACATTCTGCTCAATCAGCTCGAAATGGGTGTTCTTTTGGCCCTGCCCAGGCCCAAGTCCATCTTTCACATGATCCTGGTACAAGCAAGAAAGCACACTCTACTTCAGCAAAAAAGGACACTGGAAAAAACAAACTGTTAGTTGTGGAGTCAAGATGTGATTCCAGGTCACCCTTATTAGATTGTAGCTTATGTGGTGCTACCGTCAGGATATTGGATTTCTTGACAGTTTCTCGACCTGCTCGTTTTGCTCCTAATAATATTGACATTCCTGATGCAAGCAAAAAAATGGCATTGACACGTGGAGTAAGTGCAGCCAGTGGAATCAGTGGTTGGGTTGCTGCTGATGATATAGAGAAAGAACATACAGAAGACCGTGATGAAGTGGCAACAACCGACAAGGGGAAATTGCTGCAGAACACAGAAGTTGATTTGAATCTCACTATGGCAGGGGGCTTACCTTTTATTCATGCAGACAGGGTAGAAATCCCTGAAAATGTTCATGATGCTGAGATGGGGAGAGATTTAATGATTGGTCAACCTTCACACAGTGAGGTTGGTGATCGTGCTGCTTCATATGAATCACGAGGACCTAGTTCTCGTAAGCGGAGCCTGGAGATAGGTGGCAGCTCAGATGATAGGCCAAACTTGATAATGCAGCCTGCTGATAGTGTGGAGGGAACTGTCATTGATCGTGATGGTGATGAAGTCACAGATGGGAGGCAATTTTCAGCTGGACCTTCAAAGCGAGCTCGTGATTCGGATTTTTTTGATACAAACTGTTCACTGTATCAGAGAGACTTATCTGGTGCTGGACCTAGCAATTCAGTGGGTCTGGAAATTTATGCAGATGGAAATAGAGCTAATTTATTTCGTCAAGGAAGTGACCAAGTTTTTGGAATTCCATCAGCTAGGGATTCAACACGTGCGTCATCTGTCATTGCAATGGATACAGTCTGTCATAGTGCAGATGATGACTCTATGGAAAGTGTTGAAAATCATCCTGGCGATATTGATGATGTTCATTTCCCTTCTTCCAGTACGTATGGCAATCTGGACATGAATGAGACATCTGAACTGAATTATAGCAATCAAGCCCAGCAAAGCATTTGTTTCACACGTGCTGCTGAAGTAGCCGCTGGTGAAATGGGTGTCAGTAGTACAAATGATGGTGAAGAAATTTTCAATGCAGAAACAGTGACAGCTCAGGCTCGGGATGGTCCCAGTTTTGGTATCAGTGGAGGCAGTGTTGGCATGTGCGCTAGTCATGAAGCTGAAATTCACGGAGCTGATGTTTCTGTCCACAGAGCAGATAGTGTAGTTGGTGATGTGGAACCCAGAATAGAAGATGTTGAAAATCAAGGTCAGACTGGTGAGTCTGTCCCTGATCCTGGATTGATGGATGAGATTGTCCCTGATGAAATTAACAGGGAAGATCCTCATGGTGATAGCCAGGAGATGTTCTCTCGATCTGTGGAAAGGGCAGATAGTGGCTCAAAAGTAGATGGTTCTACAAAGGCTGAATCGGTTGAAAGTGGTGAAAAGGCAAGCCAAAGCTGTAAGTTAGCATTAGATAACAATGCTCACCCTTCGCTTTCCTGCAATGCAAATATGTACTCTGGCTATCAATCAACCAAGAAAGGGGTCACCAGGGCTGGAAAATCATCATCTACGAACAACTGTCCTTGCATAGAGTCTGATTATGCAGTTGCCAATGGGATAGGTGAGTTCCTTATATATATTACTTGTTCTGTTATTTCCTTTGTTAAGCTGTCTAATTTCTTCCTTGTTCTTAGATTGATATCATTGCATTGGATGATTGTCATGAAGTGGATGTTTTATGTGCGTTCCACTTTTGCCCATTGTTTTTCATTTTTTTCTTCCCGTTACACATTTAGTAGCATACTCAGATGGAATGATTCAAATGAAAGCATCATTCAAAGCTTGGTTGTTAGTCTTCCTCTTGCTCTCTCCATGTATGGCTGATGCGTTGTTGCCCTACTTGATTCTCAGGACCTCCAAAAGGTGAAAGCAACTACGAAGAGGTTGTAGAGTTCGATCCAATTATTTATCACAATCAATTCTGTCCATGGGTGAATGGAAATGTTGCTGCTGCTGGCTGTAGCAGCCGTGGTGGTTCTGGCAACAATGCTGATGCAGCTGCACTATGTGGTTGGCAGCTGACTTTGGATGCATTAGATGCACTGAGGTCACTAGGGAATATCCCGATTCAAACTGTACAGTCTGAGTCTGCGGCATCATTGTACAAGGTCAACCATCTCGTATTCTAATTTGCTTTCTCCCATTTGAGCAGTAAATTGGACGCAAATTTAATTTCTATCTTAACTTTTCAAGTAGCTTACTCTTCTTTTCCCTTCTTTGGTATATCTATTAGTAAAAGATTTGCTTGTTTCGCCTTTCCTCATTGGGTTCTTTACCAGGATGATCATCAAACTCCTGGTCAAAAGCTCCTTCGACGGCATTCTATTAGCAAAAGCCAAGGGCAGCATTGATATTTAACCGTGATAGTGAAGGTACTTGCACAGTTATAGCAAGATCATTTCAACTAATAAATTTTGCACAAAGCTTCTTGTGGTAATGCACCTTGTTACATGTAATTGTCGTTGACTTTAATGAAGCTGAATTCCACGCAAGGTCACTAATAGGCTATTCGACATTGAGGTTGTAATTGCCTTTTCAAGTAGGACCCTTTTAGATGCATTTGCAAAAAGCAGTTTCATACTTCTTTTTAGCTGCTCTGTTGATTTTACCTTTGAAGCAGTTTTTAACGGCCTTGTAATCAGTATGTTCAATATGATGTTTTTCCAAAAAGCAACTTCAATAGCAATGCTAAACAGACGCTTAACTTGTTTGGCAGAATAAAGCATGTATAGATTGCGTTGAATGGAATATGTGTAGTATAATAGAGGAAAAGTTCATTTTTAATAATGCAACCGAGTAACTGCAATCATTTATCATTCTTATGCCAATCCTGTGTAGGATGAAACTGCATCAGTATTGGAAGTAACCATTGGAATCGATTTTGCTAACTGGCTGAAGAGCTGCTGCTGGTGAAAGTTATAGCACTCCTTTTTTATTTCCTCCCCATTTTCGCCCCCGCTGCCTGCCGTGTTTGGATAATTTTTATGTCACTCAGAAAAGAAAATGAGGTGCTGTTTAATGCCAGCATAATTTGCCTGTTCATGTATGTCAAGTAGTTTGCTTCATTGTTATGGACACCGCAGCACAGTTAATCAATGATGTAATGATCAGAAACCTTTTGCTTTTTATTATTGCAAAATTTGTTTGGTTCTCTTTTATTCTTTTTGTTTGAAGCTCATGATAATAGTTGCAGTTTTGAGTGTTTATAATTTGTCTTTAACAAAAGTAATTCTGTTCTCCACCAGTCTTGTATGTTTTACGAAAGAGAAGATAATGAATTTGATGGCTATCATTTTCCATTCCCTTCAGTCATTCTGTATAATGTATTCAGTGAATGTGAGGTGTATCATTAGGACTAAGGCAATCGTTAATCATTTTCTTTTAGGTTAATCAAACAAAACACCGTTAAATTGTCTTTGTTGTGATGAAGTTAGTAATGTTAGTTCTTGAGTTTTTTATTTTTACTTTTTTAAATTCAACATAATATTATAGTCCTTAATTATGAAATTATGAATTTTGTTTTTGCCTCATTATCAGCCTACATTTAGCATTATTCTCATGAGATTAACCAAGAATTAAACTCTACTTTGAAATTGAGAAACTAATTATTGGATGATTTCACCGAATTCTTGAACTATAAATTTTTTGAATTCTTTAGTTTTTAAAACATTAATGCATTTAGCTGTTTTTTTGTCCTTCGTCGTTTGAATGAGGTCCATGTGACGATGTCTGTGTTAATTACAATAAGAGCCAAGAAGTGAACCGATACAGGGAATCGCTGCCAAAAAAGCCTAGTTTCTTTCCACCCACAAAAAAAATCCTTGTAATCCAGCTTGAGCCAATCAAATTTGAGCTACATGCCCTCGTGTCATTTGCATAATCCAATATAAACAAAGGGATAAAATTAACCTTCTCTCTCTCTCCCCAACACACCATGCCTGCATCATCAGCAGCAGCAGCTTTACACACTACGCTGTGCTTCTCTACCCAAAAGCCTACACCTACACCCTCAAATTCTCAGCAACCAAACGCCCACTTATCAGCAAAGCCTAAAAGTCCTCTCCACAAGCACCCACTCTATACGCCTCTTCACACTAACATCTCTTTCCAAATCAAAGAAAAAATCCTATGCCTTGAAATCATGGGTATTGACTCTGGCAAAGCATTATCTCAAAACCCTTCTCTCCATTCAGCTTCTCTAGATTCAATTCAATCCATAATCTCATTTCTCCATTCCAAAGGCATCCTCCAAAAAGACTTAGCTAGAATCTTCGGCATGTGCCCTCAAATCCTCACCTCTAACATCAAAACTGAACTTAACCCAGTTTTTGATTTCCTTTACCATGACCTTGAAGTCCCAGAAAATAAATTTAGAAGGGTTATCAATAAATGCCCTAGGTTGCTCATTTCTAGTGTTAAAGATCAGCTTAAACCATGCCTATTTTATCTCCAAAGGCTAGGGTTTAAGGATTTGGAGGCTTTGGCTTATCAAGATTCTATCTTGTTGGTTTCTAATGTAGAGAAGACTTTGATTCCTAAATTGAAGCATTTGGAGAGTTTAGGGTTTTCAAAAGATGAGACTGTGGGCATGGTTTTAAGATGTCCTGCTTTGTTTACATTTAGTGTTGAGAATAATTTTAAGCCAAAGTTCAGTTTTTTCATGGAGGAGATGAATGGGAAATTGGAGGAGTTGAAAGCGTTTCCTCAATATTTTGCTTTTAGTTTGGAAAATAGGATTAAGCCAAGGCATTTGGAGATTACTCAACTGGGGACTAAAATGGCTTTGCCAATTATGCTTAAGAGCACTGATGAACAGTTTAGGGAGTTGCTAAGGCAAGGAGCTGGATAAGGAATTATGGTGTGATTCATTTTCCTTTCTCTGTTACTTTCTCAATTGACATTTTGGTGTCACTTGTAAATCTTGGTGATTTGTCTAATTTGTAAAGAATATTTCCTTAACAGTTTCTCAATTGGCAGGTTTGGTAAGCCTAATAAAATATAATGTAATAAGATACATTTCCAAGGTAAATTTACTTTCTTGAATTACTTTACGGTAGATTGTATCTTATCAAACATATTACGAATACATATAAAATGAAATGACGGTTCATTGTATCTTACCAAACATATTACGAGTACATATAAAATAACTATATTTTCCGTTCGCATTCAAATGAAAATTACTTCAAATTATGAAAAAATAAGCTCCATATATGGATACATGCCGAAGACTAATAATAAATAAATAAATTATTACATTAAAATCACGTTTTGAAAATTTAAATATAAAAATTTTGAAAAACGAAATTATATAATATAAATAAGTAGGAGTATAAAAATATAACAAGTTTTATTTATATTTTGAAAAATGAAAATCCACCCGAACTTAACTAATTTATAAACAACTATTCCTTCTTTTTTTGTGGGCTGAAGGTCACAAAGAAAGGATATGTTTGGTGGGCTGGACTTGAACAATTAATAAGTCCAAGCCTAGAACTTTAGGGAATTGGGAAGAAAAAAAAAAAAAAAATGGAAAAGACAGAAATTATATAATATAAATAGAGTAGGAAAGTTATAAAAATATAACAAGTTTTATTTTATATTTTAAAAATGAAAAGTCCACCCGAACCTTAAAAGCTAATTTAAACAACTATTCCTTCTTTTTTTGTGGCTGAAGTCACCAAAGAAAGGATAGTTATTGGTGGCCGACTTGAACGCAATTAATAAGGTCCAAAAGCCTAGAACTATTTAAGGGGAATTGGGAAGAAAAAAAAAAAAAAAAAACGAAAAAAAAAAAAAAAAAACGAATAGTGGCCAGTAATTCACACACCACATACGACGTCGATCTAGTTGTTGGAGATGTGAAAAACTTTAAAAAGTGTGAGGGTTGTTAAAAATCTATCCATTATTTTTTTTAATAAAGATTAAGTGCTAAAATAATATTCATTATGGTTATTTTAGAGAGTAATTTAATTGGAATTAAAATAAAATTAGCCAAAATGCATAAAAAGTATTCGTAATAGAAAATAGCCAAATATTATAGTAATATGTAAATAAAATATAAAAATTATAAAATCAATTTTTAGGAATTTATTACAATAAAGAGATTAAATATTACTAATTCAATCTTATTTATTCGAGCAAATGCTTGTATTGTTATAATCATTGGTCAAACTGACGGTCGTTGATTTAATTGTGGCTGCTCAAGCAACAAATCGTACTTCAAAGTTCAAACAAATTAGACTTTCATCTTCCTTCTTCTGAGGAGCAAATAACGAAGCGGCAATACGGCGATGTCATTGTATCGGGAGTTGCTGCGGATTTCCAGAAATGGTGGTTTGTTTGGCTGCCGACGGATTCTTGCTTCCTTGCAATCGCCTCATGGCAACTGTACTACTCAAATGGTGATGCAGAACTATCTTTTTTTTTTTTTTTTTTTTTTTTTTTTTTTTTTTTTTTTTTTTTGTTTTTTTTTTTTTACTTATTTTTGTTTTTTTTTTTTTTTTTTTTTTTTTTTTTTTTTTACTTATTTTTGTTTTTTTCACAGTTTTCTTTTCAAAAACCGAAAAGGAAGTCTCGATCGGATTATTTTGTATGTCGTTAATGGCTTATCATTCATTACCTTCTCTGTAACCATGGGAACTGTTTTATTTATTTGTTTATTCATTTTTATCTGTACTTTTCTTTACACCTGAGAGATAAGGAGGTTTAGGGTTTAGTTTACATTGTTTCTGGTGAAGTTTAGGTTTCCAGTAGCAAAGAAACTTATTCCTGGAGTGTTCCTGCCTTTCATATCTTTAAACAGCAAGTTCATCATCAGAGCACCACTTTTGTTGAGGTTAAGCGTAACGTTCTCCTTTCTTTTGCCACTTCCACATCCCCCATATGTTTTCTTGTTTGGTATTGTGGTTATCCACTCAATCGAGATAGATGTACTCTTTCTTTCAGGAACATAATGATCCATTTTCACTTGTTGCTGATGAACTATCACTTCTTGCTAATAGGTTGAGGTCAATGGTAATTGCTGAGGTATCTAATTCCTCTTCCTCCTGTTATTTCCCTGAGTTGTTTATGCTCTGTGAGAATAGTGGACAGCTTTCTCTTTCAATAGTGTGCGTGTGTGGTGTTTATCAAAGTTGAATTTCAATTGCATCCAGGTTCCAAAACTTGCCTCAGCAGCTGAGTACTTCTTCAAAATGGGAGTGGAAGGCAAGAGGTTTCGTCCCACAGTAAGTACAATAATTGCTGTTGCTCTTTCGTAATATTTCCTTCACATGGTTTTATCAGTTCTTATAAGTCTTAAGTGATCATTGATTTGACTGTGAAACTGGCTGTTTCCTTAGTAATTGAGTCATAAATTAGTGACACTGATGCTAGCTTCCATTTTTTTTATCCATTCACTTCTTATAACTATGGAGTTTTCACCTTACCCTTGCAGTTCCAAAATTTTTAGTGCTGTAGAGTTGTTGGAATTATCTACGTATTTTGATCTCTCTGTTCTTGTCTGATATAGAATAAGGGGCCTGTTTTGTGCAGGTTTTGTTGCTGATGGCAACAGCTTTGAATGTGCATATACCTGAACTGGCACCTAATGCTGTTGGAGACGCATTGCCAATGGAACTACGTACAAGACAGCAACGTATAGCTGAGATTACAGAAATGATTCATGTCAATTTCTCATGTTTTTGTATCATTTTTCTCTTCTCAGTTTCTCCTTTTTGTCTCATTTTATTTTTCTATGGTCAAATGTCAGTCTTTATGGAATTGTTTTATTTAAAGGAGCTTATTGTCGCTTTCCCGAGACTGATGCAATCACTTACATATCTTAGGTGGCAAGTCTTCTCCATGATGATGTTTTGGATGATGCGGATACAAGACGGGGTATTGGTTCACTAAATCATGTAATGGGCAATAAGGTAATGCTATAATATTTTACCCCATAATATCATTATATATTTTTGAACAACTTTTTGTGGTAGATATCTAGTTCTCTGAATAATATATACTTCTCATTCTTCCTGCTTATTTGTGAAAAGAAAAGCTTGCAGTGAAAAGTATTTATTGTAGTGCCTGCAACTCTTTACATATGTTTTCCTTCCTGTACGAATTGTGGGTTCTTGAGGAGTTAGGAGGAACAAATTATCATCTTATGACATGTAGTTCCTCATACTATATATTTTGTTGGAGCATCACAACTTTTGTTTTTTTAGCTCTTGTTTATGCATGTACTATACAATGGATAGGGATAACTTCTTTCTGCTCATGAAAATCAGATATCGTGGAGCTTTCCAATTTTATGATTTTTTTTTTTTTTTGAAAATATGTTGAAATCAAGTGCTACTTGGGAGTTCTATTAGTTGTAGAAGAATAAAATTACGAAGGACTGTGTTCTAAGGTTTCCATTCATTTTATTGCAGGTAGCAGTATTAGCTGGAGATTTTCTGCTTTCACGAGCTTGTGTAGCTCTTGCTTCTCTGAAAAACACAGAGGTATGCATATCAGTTCAGGTTTAGCATTAATGGACATCATAACCTTCTTCATCTCTTTAGTGAATCCTCAAAACTATTCCTCAATATGTTTCACAACCAGTTATTCATCGTGGTAAGAATAGGTGGTGGACATCTAGCATAATGGATTGTCTATCTTTAGTAAAATACCAGCTGCTTTTTACTTTTCTGCAATAGCCAAAATAGTTAAAGTGAATGTCATCATTTACCTTAATTTATCTGTCGACATCATTGGTCTGCATTATGAATTGAGAGAGGAAATTACTTCTGGTAGCCAAAGTTATTGAAGGGCATAACTTTTGACAAGTAATATGGAATATCTATGTTATATCATTCTTAATTCTCCTCCCAAACCCCTTTCCGGTGGGTGGTTTGGGTGAAGGGGCAGAGGAAATGGTAAAGCATTTGCATATATTTCATCTTTTCCTTTTGTCATCATCATAACTAGATTTTTTTAGGTTGTTTCGCTATTAGCAACAGTTGTGGAGCATCTTGTGACAGGAGAAACCATGCAGATGACTAGTACATCTGAGCAATGTTGTAGGTATGCTGCTTTACCTTTTCCTTCCATTTGTAAATAGTTGCTTCATATGTTGTGTGGTTGAGGATTTAAACTTGTATTAAATAGAGAACTTGTTAATCTGAAGAGTCTTTTTAACTTTGTTTTGTAAATTTTAAGCACCCTTTCCTCTAACTTCATATCAATTATTTTAGCTTTTTATTTTTTTTACTAGGAAAGCCTAGAAGTTAAAGTGAAATTTTAAAATAGGAATTTATATACGTATTTGAATGCAAATAGCTGTCTAAAATGCCAGTAAATAAGGCATACTCAAGCTGATTTGCAATTGTACCTGCAATAACTTTTTTTAAATGTTGATTCGACTAAGAAGTTGTTTTTCTCATGCAGCATGGAGTATTATATGCAGAAGACATACTACAAGACTGCATCTTTGATTTCAAACAGCTGCAAGGCAATAGCTCTTCTTGCTGGGCAAACAGCAGAAGTTGCAATATTGGCTTTTGAGTATGGGAAAAATCTGGTTTGTAAATTCCTTACTAGGTCCTTGATTTGCCAACTACATAAAATATCAAGCTTTTTGGTGTATTTTTCTTTTAAGGTCAATATATTTGCAAAGTCAGTGAACTTGTAAATCAGATAGAACAACCATATATTGTTTATTAGTGGTGGGAAGTGCTTAAGGCATTGTGAATCTTTTTCTTATGTTCTAGTTTCTAGTGATACTCAGCTTGGGGAATCAGTTTTAATATGATCTCTCTAGTTGATGTCTCTCTTTTGCACATTGCAAAATGGAACACAGTTCAACACACTTCTTTTTAATGTGTTGAGAGAAGTTATTTGCTTATTGCATAAGTTGATGGTTGGGGTTTCATGCTGCAGTTGTTAGTATCTTAATTGCTGCTGGCTGGACTTGCTCCCGTTTGAATCATTTTTTTAAGTTGGTTCATTTTTCTGAACTGGACCTTTTTATTTTTTCAGGGATTGGCATTTCAGCTGATAGATGACGTTCTCGATTTCACTGGCACGTCAGCTTCCCTTGGAAAGGGTTCATTATCTGACATTCGCCATGTAGTTCATCTATCCTTCATATTGCATCCACCATTTTTAGTTAAATCATAGTTATGTGTATAAATTTGATAAATTTTGTAGGGAATAGTGACAGCTCCAATATTGTTTGCCATGGAAGAGTTCCCTCAATTGCGAGCAGTTGTTGAACAGGGCTTTGACAAACCTGAAAATGTTAGAATTGTAAGTCTCTAGTAGTTTTATCTAGCATTACTATGAAGTACTTAATCTAGAAAAAGTGGATAGGTTGCGTTACTATTAATCTATCCTAATGCTGTAAGCTCTTCAGGGAACTTGTGAAATTCTAATTTTTCTTCATTATCTGAATCTGTATTGGTGAAAGCGTTTATATTCTAAAATCATGATGAAGTCTTGCGTGCTATTCCATTATTCATTAGATGAAGTTGACCCTTGAGGCTGTAACACCGTTTCCTTTGAGATTGTGGATTTTCAGATGACGCTTAAAATGAAATTTTTGAGATTCTTATAATTCCATGTTATATTTTCAATTCTTTTATGCTCTTAGCAGTTTTTCATGCATGTTAGTTATATTTATTATCAAATATGGGATGTCTAATGTAGCACCATCAATTTCCAAGCAGTTTTAGACTATAATGCATTTTCCATTTTGATTTCTACAAAAATCACCGACTTCGAATTTTGATTCTATTTTGTGTTTGATCACTGTTCCTCAGATGTTTGTTTACCTGAGTAAGTACAACTGATTATCTTCATGTAAGACGTAGCAGTAACTTTTTGTTTCTTGGTCCAAAGTTATATGCGCTGATTGTTTCTACTTCTGCAGTCATGGTGATTTATTTTTCATTATGAATTTCATCATGAATGTATACGCCAGTGGATCGTCTACCTTATATGAGATTATCTGTATTTGGAAAATGCAGGCCTTGGAGTACCTTGGAAAGAGCCGTGGAATACAAAGGACGAGGGAGTTAGCTGCAAAGCATGCTAAGGCTGCTGCAGAAGCTATTGATTCTCTTCCTGAAACCGATGATGAAGAAGTAAGGAAGTCGAGGCGAGCGCTAATCGATCTAACTCAGAGAGTGATCACAAGGAATAAGTGAGAATATTCTTGTTCTTTCTTTCTTCCTTTCGTCTTCTAAAAGAAATCACCGTTCATGTAGGTCAAGGGCCAACCACCCTATTGTTTTATCTTTTATTCAATTACATTGATTATCGTTCAAGATAATTATTTTTAGAGGGACCTGATTATGGTAAATTTTATATATATCTCTTTACGCAAGGGCAACAAAATAATCTTTTATTCAAATAGACGTTCTACTCAAATGACTTGGTTTCAGTTCTTTTGCTTCCTCATATGAATTGATATCAGAGGTATTTATTTAAGGGAAAATTATATTTGTGTCCTTATATTTGGACATGATTAATTATTTTATCTTTGTATTTTAAAATTATATTATTTTATTCTTGTAGTTTGTATCCGTTGAACGAAATTATCCTTTTGATTTAAGTAGTTAAGTGTTAGTGAAATTATAGGACTAACCCTGTATACTGATGGATTAAAAGGGAAAAAATTCTTTTTTATTTTCTCTGTATCTTGACATAATTAACTACTTTATCCATGCCATTTTAAAAATTATACTATTTTATCTTTATAGTTTGTCTTTGTATTTTTACTATTTTATTCTTATAGTTTATCTCTGAATTTTTTTGAGTAATATATAAAATGCAAGGATAAAGTAGTTAATTATGCCAAAATGTGGGAATAAAATCGTATTTTCCCCTTTATTTAAATTTTCCGTGGATTGTTCATCTTATTGTTTTCTAGGGTGTGGAAGATAATTTCTACCATATTGTTGTGCATGTCAATCTGATAGACAGGTGGTCTGAAAGGGGAAATTGTTGATCTGGAAAAAAAAAAAAATATTGTACAAGCCCAAATATAACTGATATCAACAATACTATCGTCTCATGTTCATATTATTTAGTTTATAATGATGGAAGAGAAAAGCAAGTTAGGCATCAGATGAACATACAAAATTCTCAAATACAAAGATCTCATGCACTTTACCACCTGATAACAGATGCTTTGTGTGCATTCATTTGTGAGATATTTGACAATCAGCTTCATACTTCAAATATCACATCCAAGCTTCTCAAAACTGTTTACAAGAGGAGAGATCCTGAATTGTCTACGAGTTAAAAGAACACATCTTGGGAGATGAATGCAGCCCAAGCATCCTGTAATCGTACGTTTCAAATTATTACCCTTTATTCAGCAGAAGAAATGTTTATTGTCATTAGATTGTTTTCTGCTCCTACAGAAACAATTTTTAGGAAAAAGTTTCTTGAGATTTACCTGGAGAATGGAAAATGCCTTTTCTGCAACATACTTCTGTGGAAGTGTAGCTCCTCTTTGTTGCAATTTATCAGGGTGGAGACATAACCTTGCTTTCTGATAGGCCTTTTTTACTTGTGAGCTTTCAATTAGGCTTGTCAAAGGAGTTGCATACCAACCACTGTTGGGCCATAGAATCTGAATTCAATACCAATCAAACATTACATGCAATCAAAGGAGTCATTACCCATATTCAGTAACTAAAATGAAATTTTTTCCATTTTTTTTAAAAAGAAAAAAAATTATAATAACTAAATTAAAGACCTTACATGATGTAACGTTGAAAGAAGTAAACGGATATTAGTCTCCTTGCCAGCTGACCATAACCTGATGTCTTCATCCAGTAGTTCCATCTCCATCTGTAGTTTTTGCAGGAGGAAAATAAAAACATCAATCAAAGCTCAGTTTTATTTGCAGTTTAGATGTTTTCAAGCTTTTTAGTCCATTGACCTGATAGGATCGAGACCTTACATCTTTTTCTGATTGGACTCTTTCTTCTTCACTTCTCCATTTCTTTAGCTCTTCTTCCTGCAAAAGTAGAGGGAAAATATATTATCAATACCTTTTTCATTTTTGTTATCATTTACACTCTCAGGAACAATACTTTACCGGGGGAGATTGCATTATTTCTACAAATTCTTGCGCCTTTGGTGTTTCTCCAAAATTTTGATTAACTTCTAATTTGTCAGCAGAGTGATCTTCTTTCTGTTGTCTGTCAAAATTCTGTGACTGAAACTTCTCTTTAGCCCATGCAATTGCTTCATCAATAGAAATGGCTTCGCCAGACACTTCTCTATGATCAGAATTAATCTCAATAACATAAGAACTCATAACTTCATCTTCCTCTTGTTCATTTTCTTCTTCTCCCATTGTATTACAACACTTTGTTGCCTCTGGTTCTTGACAAAGTGAAGACACGGGAGATGAAGGTGAATTGAGTTCTAAATCATCCACTGATACTTTAATGCTCCTGTACGAATTAGGTTCCAGACTGATGGTTTCTGGGGATGATGTATTACAAACACTTTTGTTTGCCTCTGGTTTCTTGACAAAGTGAAGACACGGGAGATGAAGGTGATTGAAGTTCTAAATCATCCACTGATACTTTAATGCTTCCTGTACGTAATTTAGGTTCCAGACCTGATCGGTTTCTGTGGGATGAGACCTGCCGCGAAATTTTAACATAGGAGCTTCTGAAATTATTGTCATCGTATTTATTTCCACGCAAGTAACTATCAGCACAGGAATACTATTTGCTTGAAAAGGTGTACTTTTCTTTTTCCCTAAAATTGTTTCTTCAGGTCTCGCAGTGTTGGAGTTGCCACCTACTGGTACATCTTGGGATTGGCTCGTAATGAAGATTAAATCTAAAGCTCTCCCTCACTTATGAACACAAGCAATGGTTATCAATCAATACAAGGAAGATATGGAGAGTATATTATATTTGAATTCATCTCGAATATGAATGAAAATGAAAATGAAAATTGAACTGTTTAGGATTTAGCATCATAACTATAATATAATTCTCAATATCTAATTTTAAAATATCTAAAATATATCTCTAACTTAGAATCATGATCTTTTTCTTTTTGACCTGCGCATATGAGGCAGGTACATGGAAGAGAAAAATTCAACAACTGGCCATATATAGTAAAATTAATTCCGAGGAATTTCCAAAAAAGTTGGAATAGTGTCGGTATACAACAAATTTTGTTTGTCTGAAGGAAAGAAAATTAATTATTAGAACACAAAGGAATCTTGAATGTTTGAAATGGCTTGTGGAGCCTTAGCTACCCACAAAACCATGTGGAAATGTTTCCTCTTTGTTTAAAAGCATCTTATTAATAATAATGTAACACTTAATATGGTGATACCAAAAACCATAGATATGCAAACTAAAACTAGAAATAGCTTCAACTATGTATTTTTTTTTTCTGTGTAATATATTTATATATTTTTTCCCCGACCGACTTCAGATTGGGAATATTATTTTTGGTAAAATTCTACCTAACAATGGCGAATTTAAAATTTAAAAATTATGCAATATAAGACCCATTTTGATTTTATTCTAAAAATTTGAAGGAGCAATTATAATTCTTTAAAATTTGAAAATTTAGGGGGTAAAAAAAAAGAAGAAGAAGGGAAACCTTTGAAAAATATTTTTAATTCTGGGGAATTACAGGGCATAAAGTCAGATTTCGACAAATCTCAATTGAAAAACAGTTGAAACCCAGTTTCCTTTGTGTCATGTGTGTTAACCTGAGTTTTGGAAGAAAAGCAATACAATGCCACATCATCGCCGGTCACGGCTCTCCGGTGAGGACTCAGCTTCCTCAGAACTCAACACCGATCGGACGAGTTCGACTTCGATTCTGCTTGGAATTGGGCCCTGATTCTCCCTCGACCTCCCGTCCCTTCCTTCCACCCGAAAACACTCACTGTAGAATCCTTCACTTTTGCTGGGGTCCTGAAAGCCGTGCAGCTCGTTCACTACTCTTCTTATCCACCCACAAGGAATAACTCCGGCGGGCCGGAAAATCTCTCGTAGATAGAAAGTGATGATCTACGTTAGTAGTGAAGTCGCCAGAGAATTTCCGGGGACAGAACACCTGCCGTGGTGGCCCGCCAAGAAACAACATCGGCGAAGTCTTAGGGTCAAGAGCTTCCATCGAACGCCGTGTATGACCAGCCACCGATCGTGTCTTCCATAGAACGGCGCACGTGGACCGGCTCGGCTTCCATCGCATTCTCCACGGATTCGTCCATATAGTTTCTTTTTGTTGCTTAGAGCTTAACAGGATTTTAAATAAGCCACATATTATGGAGATTTTTTAGCTTTACTGCTACAAGTATGTACACAATACATACCAATACATTACATATGAGAAAGGCAGCTTTGAGGAACAAGGCGGGTACTTTTTAATTTCTCTATTCCCTTTTTAATTAGTGTTAACATTTTTTTTTAAATATTTCAATTTAAAAAAAATTAAAAGCTCCAGTAATACAATTGGATTTTTGAGTTATATTTGATACTTGTTTTTATTTAAATAAAATAAAATTTTTCAAAAGATTTTAATTTTTTATTTTTTTGTTTGCCATACCTGTTTTTTCGGTCTAAGATTTTATAAATAACCATTTTTCTAATCGAAAATAATAAATAAATAAATAATAAATTAATATATATATATAGATGATAATGACATATAATGAGAGAGAGTATATGGAGGAGTGGGGGCAAATCATCAATCAAAGTTGGACTCCCCACGTCTACTGGACAAGCTGTCTTTGGTGGAGAGAAGAGATTCAGTCCCACAACAAAAACCCCCCAACATCATGATGTGAGTATTTTGCCTTTTCTTTTACATTAACCCTTTGTTCGCATGGGCACCTCTTACTCTTTCCTTGTTGGCCCTAACCCAGATGAGAGGAAAAGAAAAAGAAAAAGAATCTATCCACCACACCATAATATAACTGAAATAACTGATTTAACTCATCGTGAAGCATGGACTGTGAAATTAATTTAATTAAGTTATTGTTTTAACTGTACAATTAACCCCAGTGCCAAACATGCTTATATACATTAATTATGGCACAGGGCTATTATATTTATTCCAATTTCAAACCAATTAATTAAGTGACAGGAGAAGGAATATACCATTCAGTGACTAATACCAATAACGAAAAACAAAGTGGGCAAATGTTTGAATGTGTGATTAAAGTTAAAGCAAAGTCAAGAAAGCATTCCTATGTTCTTCTTCTTGTATCAGCCCTTTCAGCTTTTTGAATCCTCTTCGCAAATCGGAAAAACAATCTTTTTTAACAATGGATTTTTTTTTTTTTTTTTTTTTTACATTGGATGGAATAATTTTATATTAGTGAAATTGAATATTTAGAAGAGAAATATAATATACATGTAAATGTTTTATGTTATAAACATTAATCTTTAATATTTTTTTTTTTAAAACTTGTTCAACGACTATTCTTCGTTATCAATTTAAGTTCGGTGATTGTTATCTCTTCTAATAAATGCTTTTAATAATTTAGTGGAAGAGGGAAAGAAACCCTAGCTAACAAGGATATAGGTATGATTCATCAAAGCAATGAAATTTGGACACTCTAGTATGACTTACTTAGTTGCTTTGTATCCTGAAGCACAACAAAATATGGAACATTTACATTATGCATAAGGTTACGGATGGAAGAAAATAAACGCCAAAAAGGCACTAAAGAAATAACAACACAAGACAATATTGCTTCATTGGTATAAATCATCAAGCCACTAAAATCTGTTGCTTCCTGCCAATTTTCAACCTTATAATGACTCTTACAAACTTTAGCTTCTTGCTACTTTAATGTCATTTGCTCATGTTTTTATGCGAAAGGCTTGAATAGTTGACAGCATGAATCTAGATATGATGCGAAGGAAAGTTAAGGGAAAGGAAGAAGTTACTCAAGGTCTAGTGGTTTAAGCGCATTAGATCTTACTCTAATGTTCAGGATTGAATCATAGAAGCTGGCATCTTGAATAATGTTTTAACACACAAATTATTCTCAGCCCTCAATAAATATGATCGTCTCGTATAACCGTTAAACGGCAAGTTGGGTAGAAAAAAAGAAAGTAAGATAAGGGTTTTTGGAAAAAATGACATAGTTGACATAATTGGCATTTATTTTGATACTATTAGGGAAAAAAGGAGGGATACTAAAAAAAAAAATTTATGCTTTTGCAACTGAAATTGGATACAAAAGGCGGTGAAGGAAGGATTTGATTGGATATGAAAGAGGGGACAATGCATGCCTAAATTGATTGTCATAAAAAAACTTTATTCTCCCTCTCTACTTTCCAACAAAGTGATCATAAATCTTTCAACCAAAGATTATTATCAAATCAACACACACACTACACTATTTAATGGTGGTGCCAATAGAGAATAAGCAAATTTGAAAACCAAGTTGGTCACGACCGCGATTCCAATGGGCCGGACGCGGCCTAGGGCCAGGTAAGCTCTAAGGCCCCGAGACCCGTAGTAAGCCTGAAACATTAGAGTCTATTATTCGGTCTAAAA